CGTATGTTTTGGTGATCGAAGCTCTTAAGGCAGTCTTGTGGCATCCAGAGCTGTTATTGTGTTGCTGCTCATCAGTTTCCTGATTAGACAGCTTTTCAATGGTTGAGTCGTCAAGTTTGTGACAGCAAGGAAAAGAATCATTTGTTGCATGTTACTTAAAGCAATGAGCCATTATTGAACTAAATGATTGCATGGATAGTAGAAGACAGTCTCTTTACTATCCATGATGATTGGTTGAGGATGCAGGACCCAAATATTTTTATCATTGTATAATAAGATTCAGATTCTGTTGTTTTCTGCCAATAATATAAAATGTTTGATTCTGTCATTGTTACCTGCAAACTTTTGTTGACAGTCAACCATACCACTGCATCATTTGATACATGTATATGTTGCAGAGAAGACTTAATTTGTTGCTTGCATAATTAATGCAATGCAGAGACCCCAACCTAAACAAATCGAAGACCTGAAGGTCACCAATTTTACCATCTCGACCCTAAGGAGGCATTGTTACATGTATAAAAGCAGAACTTTGCTAATTCAAGCACAAAATTACATGAAATATTCTAAATTTTCTTTTGAAAATGCCAATATCAGTCACAATAAGTGTGAAAAATATACTCTTGCAACTTCCTTCCTATCCAAGAGATTTACTGATCCATATGGGAGATTGGGAGCTAGATTCAGTCTGTGTCCGGGAGACTCCCAGGTAATCTGGGAGAGTTGGCAGATACATGTACATGGCAGTGAGTCCTATATTGTGTATTAATTAGTTTATGGATGAACCAACAAGGACTGAATGAGGTTGAAATGGAGTCACACCAGCAATAAGTCTCACAGTCATAACTGCAACAGTAATTGGACTTGAGTTTTGTTGATGTAGATACTGGAGGGACAAAGATAGTCCAATTGGCAGTTACATGTAAATCCCATTTTTGTAGTAGAGCTCCATATTAAGGTGAAGTGCATATTATAAGCTGTAATCTGTGTGTACATATACACTGTATTGACACCTCTGCACATGTACATGTATGTATAAATGTCCTTATTAGAGAGGCAAACAACTATATGTACACTAGAAAGGATCTTGATCAATCAAGGTTCAACTGTTGCAGTTCCTGTTTTCAATATTTGTGGTTTATTTTGTTTATCAAACATGTCATGAAAACCTCTTTGAAACAGGACAACCTTGTCTTCAATGGATTCTTTTGTTTGCAGGAAAGTGAATGTTAATGATTATAAAGCATGCAGAGATCTGAATCTTTCTCCGAGTATGAAACTGAAGAAAGATGTTTTCAACAAGATTGGGTGAGTCTAATATTATTGTTGTAACTAATAGCTGTTCTCAGCAACTGCAGTGAAAGAAATCTATAATGCATTGTAGTTTAAAATGTATTTTACTGATATGTAGGTCAAAATGATTTTAACCTACAGCTGCATGTAGTAGGTTTATTTGTGCAAAAGGTGAAGGGTAAGTCTTGGATCAATGTGTAGTTCCAGAAAATATCCATACATCTGCTTTCTCCACAGAAGGGATTTTTTCCAAACCCCCACCCCTCTGGAAATTCCAATGAAGCTTCTTACATTTATTTAAATTTATTGGTCTTAGAGAACCATTCAACCTCCCTGAAATTCCAATCCCTTTTGTGGGGGAGTATGGATATTTTCTGCAACTGCACAATAAGTTATTAGATAAACTAATAGAAGCAAATTTACAACAATTGCTTGGGTTGCCTAGTGGAGATGAAGTTGAAACACAAAGTCAGAGATCAGGTGATCAAATCTAGGGTACCGGTAATTAGGGTAAGGACTAGGAGGGGTAGGAGGGGGGGGGGGTTGATATGGGATCCTGGCAGGGTAGGGTAGGGTTAGGAACTGAGATGGGTGATTGGTGTACTTTTTTTTAAGAACCACTCAAATAGTAAAAAAAAAAAAATGAACTGCATTGGTTTGAAATATTTAAGATCAGATATGTACTGTACTGTCAAATATGGCTTTGATTTCCTTTGTTTAAACTTGATGCTTTATTAATGAGTTGAAATTGAGAATATAACTTCCTCAACATTAGTGGGCAATTCCACCTTTGTGGACGTTACATTTAGACTCAGGGTTGAAGTTTTAATTTAGCACAGACAAAAATAAAATAAAAAAGGAGTTGTCGAGTTTTCCATTTATGAGCATGTTTGCGCCTACTGTCATGTTAATTGGGCCATACAATTTTTCCACTTCACTGATTTGTATTAGAGAAATAGAGCAAAAAATGCTGACGTCGCAGACATTACATGTACATAAAAAGCAAATACAATATTGAGAGCATAAGCATTTATTCAAAATTCCTGTGAAGTACCAACAGTGAAAGCTTTTTCAAGTATGAACTGTTCCAAATATATGCAGTTAAGTGGTCTTGTGACCCAAAAAGGCTGATTTCATTTGAGCTGACATTCGCAGTTTTGCAAGGGTACTTGAACTTTAATGTTATGGAGGTTACAACCGATGTCGTGGATGTTACGCTGTGTGAATCATTGCCAAGTACCTCTATAGAAGATAAATCAGCTTTTCTGTATTGTTCTCAGTCATATAAAGCAAAGTAGCCAAATATTTTATGTTATTATGAATGAAACTGATTGGCACCCCATGTAAAAGCCCTGAAATATCACAACACAGTTTGGGGGCCACAACATGCTTTTTACATCAATAATTGATGTAGAGCATGCTCTTGGCATTCTAAGCCTGAAAATAATTGCACTAGGTCACCAGAATAATAACTTTTTTGCCAGAGAATGGGCAAAAATGGCAGTTTTGTTCAATTCAAGGTTTCTTTACAGAGTTGCTTTGGCACAACTACTTATTACTGGCCTAGACAAGGGAAAACAAATGAGTCCACTTTTCAAACATTTTTCCTGCTTCTGTTGTTATTCCTTACTTTAATTCAATGGACCATTTGAAATTCCAGAGCAACTAGCAGTGGGAAAAAACTCTTGTAAGTAATAGGAAACATAAAAGGGTATAAGAACTGTTAGAAATGACTAGTATGTTTATCAGAATGGCAGAACCTCTTGGTAGTTCTGTTGTTGAAATTTCAGAATTATAGTCTACAATCCACTTGAAAGCTGCTGTCTTAGTCAAAATGTTTGTTAGGTGAAACTAGAGCAAATCTAGAAGGACATATATGGTCTTGTGGTGCAATGTTTTGGCTTTTAGGAACTATTTCAAAATGTTTTTACTTCAGTTCAAAAAGTGTACATGTAACATCCCCGACATAACATCCAGAACAATGTTTTGCTGCCATTATTTGGAAAATGTTGCAGTTTACCAGAGATTTCTTTTTATTTATTAAGTGTTTCTATTGGATATCTAGCTGTAGATACATGTAGTTATGTTAGGAAAGAAAAAAAAAAAGATTGCTAAAACGTAACGTTCGTGATGAAACTTACATGTACTTTTGTTACAATGTATATCTACTTTTTAAAAAAAGTTCAGGGTAAAATTTTTATCACTTAACTCCAGTGAGGGACTTTTTCTAATAGAAGTGTCTGAAGTCCCTTATATTTTCCAAGTTTGATACAGCAAGTTAAAAAATTTACTTTTTGCCTGGTTGTTTGCTGTAAAAAAAATAAATCCTTACTTTGGGGACCCTCCCTCCCCCCCACCCCCCTGAATACATGGTCGTCACAAATTTCACTTCAGTAAAGTTAAAACAAAACCAAAGTAAACATCTCTTGTGAAAACACGGGCATAATTGATAATTATTGCTGTTTGCATACCCACACTTCTGCTGTAGCTGGGAATATAAACAGGTTTACCCCTCAACTATAAGAGGGTTAAATGTCTCATTTAAATAAATGCAGGGAGGTACATGTATATTTAGAATGCATTACACTCTCAAATCTTACTCAGTGTTGTTTTTGTAACCTATGCACAGTTTTTAAACCATCCAATATAAAGTTATGCAAGTCTTAAGAAGCATAGTTTTACAGTTTAACTCGTTTCGTCTTTTAGGGGTACTACGTTTTACAAGAGAAATGTTACAGTCTGAAGTAAATGTTGCCAGCTTGACCAAGAGAGAGGTAATTTCTGCCAAAATACAATTATAATAAATACTGACAGTACTCTTGAGTAATTAAAGATGTCTTCAGAGGTGTGTCACGCCCAAGAGAATTGGAGCATGCCCAGTTTGAACTGTAGTCAAACTAGAGCTGTCCAAGAATTTAGAAATAAAATGAATTGCCCAATTTTTTACGACCTCTAAATGTAAGTGCCCAGATCACCTTTTGAAAGCTACAAGTCAAAGCTAATTTTGTTTTTTTTTTTTGCTAAATAAATTTAATTTGTTCCTCAGTTTCGGGATCCAAAGTGCTGAAAAAATGTGTGACCAGTGCATTTTGCCATATAGAGTGTGTTCATGTGACGTCATCAAATTCTCAAATCCAAAACTAAAGAGCCCCTAAAAGTTTTATCCTCATCAGGCATAAGAGGTACTAAATTTATATCTGTTTACAACTTTCCAGCTCAATAGCGTCCTTCATTTGAAAACCAGCGCATTTTGAATTTTGGAGTGACATGTATAGCGGTGGGTGACATGAAACTAAGATTGCGTTTGTCGAAAAATATAGTCACACTTATCTCGTGATTTTTAGCCATTTTATGAGTTAAAGTATTAGGAAAAGTGCTTGTGTAAATGTTTTTTGGCTTGGTGCAGATAATCAGTTGTCTAGGTAGCCAAAGTAAGTTCCAGATGTTTACACTATTTTCTGGCCGCCATATTGGAGGACTAAGGAGGTCCTTCAACATGGTGGCTCCATACTAGGCTCTATAATTTTGCGCCGAACATTTTGACGAATATCTCAACTTTGGGACAACGCACACACCTTAAACTTGGAGACCTGTTCTCTTTATTTATCGTCTGTAATATCACATTTTCTTGACTTTTTTATTTTATTTTTTATTGCGTGACAATGCACACACACTATTGTGTACATGTAGTTCCAGCAAATGACCATACTCTTCCCCCACAGAAGGTTTTTTCACTTTAAGCCCCATCCCCTCAGAATTTCTTTTCCAAGGGGGTTTATGAAGACCCATACCCCATCCAGGATTTCCAAGGCTTTTTGCCCTCATCTCCGAACTTCGCAGAAGTTCCAAGTTGTTTTATAGTTACATACTGTAGAAAATTGACAGCTCACACTGTTACGATAATTTTTTTATTTCTTTTTTATGGTGGCCACATGAAATGGGATTTGTGGCATTTGAGCGAATACGAATTAGCTGGAAATGAAATATTTCTGTGGCACGAGAGCAGTGGGGAGTGGGGCTAGCCCAGTCGAATGAGCATGTGCATGAGGGAGGGGTATATAAGAGATGAATATCACATGGGATTTCATTCTAGGCCAACACCTCGGTTGCGATAACATTATTTTTACTTTATTTTTATTTAGTTTATTTTACTTGACTTACTTACCAATTTGTGACATATGTTTCATTCCCACAAAAGTCATTTGGGTTGATTACATTCACTACTTAGGGCTGTCAATCAAAAGGGAAACTTTTAGTTGTGGCAAAATTGTTAAACTGCCATTTCTCCACCAGTACATGTATTTAGTCTTTTTCAATGTATATTTTTTTTGAATTAGAGATCACACCTTGACCATTATTTTGACCCAAACATCCAAATTAATTTTGAAGAATATTGCCAATCTGTACGTATACAGTAATCTAAAAAATTACATTCAATTGTTGTTTTGTATGCAAGATTTTTGTGTACTGTTTAAGAATTAGACTGTACTGTAGGAGCCAGAGTTTTCTTTGCACAAATAATCAACTCAAATGTGTGCCTTTGACTGTCTCGCATAAAAAATGAGGGCAAATAGTTTCTAATTAGTAGACAAGTAAATGATTTAAGGTGGAAGCAAATACAGCAGGCCTGGGGTTTCATTTTCAGCAGGAGGGCAACTGGTTTAAACAGGCGGACAAATTTTTTTGACCTGAACTTCTTTATAAGAAAAACTTTCCCTAGATGGTCAAACCAGATGGGCAAAGTCATCCTCACAGCGGGTCAATTTGCCCAGTGTCCAGTCTTTGACCCCTGATTACCACAGTGAGTCTCCAATACATGTACTTTTCAGCAGTTATACTTTGACAGATCAATGCTTTTAGCTCTGTAAAACCAATTTACCGTAGGAAAAAAATAAACATTTTATTTGCCGGCTTAGGGTCGGTCCGTACATGTATGGTGAAAAACTGTGACCTCGGGCTTAAAAATGCTGCCCGAGGCCGCAGGCCAAGGGCAGCATTTTCAAGACCTCGGTCACAGTTTTTCACTATACGGACCTCCCAGCCGGCAAATGACATATATGTACTTTATGTCTACAACTTTAGATTTAAAATTTTGGTGTTTGTAAAGAAATGCAAAATAAATGCACTTATACATTAGATGGGCTTATATCCGGGTGGGAGGGGGAGGGAAGCTTATATTCAGAATAATATCTTTGTTAGCAAATAGATGAGCTTATATCCAGGGGGGAGGGCTTTAAAGTGGGATTTTACAGTATGTAGTAAACTTGCTTGCTCCAAGGGGACTATAATTTAGGAACTAATTGCACATTGGGAATTTGAAAATCAAATGAGCACACAGCAAGAGGCTGATTTGAAATTATGAACACATTGGACACCCATGTGATATCGGTCATGTGCCAGCTATATGACAAACAGGTGTGTGGAGAACCAATCACAATCAAGAATTTTGTTTCAGACACTATTTCTTTTTAAAGCAGCTTGGTTACTCCTTTTGTTTCTGAAGTCACTGATTTTCTTTGTGTTCACTTTGTTTGCAGGACTATGTCAGTGCCTGAAAATAACAGCCCTGGTGGCAGTTTAAGGGATGACGACAGTGATCCACCAACTCTCACTATTGAAGTAGAGAAGCTCAGTGATCTTCCAAAAACGTCAAAGCAATGGAGCAGTGTCCATCTCCCAGTAGACATTCTGTTGTTGACAGTCCAGGATAGTGAGTTCTTGGCATGTCATTATTACCTAAGAGATGCTTTCAGAAGTTATTCTCAAACTCTTGGATATGTGTACTTTGGAAACATGGGTGATCAGGACAAGCCATGGAAAGTTGCTCTACTGAGGTGTTCTAAAGGCTCCTCAGATCCTGGTGGTTCCCAGACAGCTGTAACCAATGCTATTACCCAATTGAGACCCAAGGTCACTTTTTGTGTTGGCTTCTGCAAAGGTCTGAATCATGAAAACACCAATCTAGGAGATGTGGTTATATCCTGTAAGCTTGCAACAGATGCCTACAGAACACCAGTAAGCAGAGATGTTGGTAACCTTGTCAGATATGCAGCTGATGGCTGGTGTCCACCCTTAGAATGCCCAGAAGCTTTCAGAGAAGTCAAAGTACACTGTGATGGTGAGATTTTGAGTTGTCCAGGTCCAGTTAGTCCTGAACAGCAGCGTAAATTATACCCAGAGGCAATTGCAGTTGAAATGGAAGGAAAAGGTGAGATTGACTTGTATTAGCCTGTTCAGCTGAAACTACAAAGGTCTATAACATTTCAGTTACAAATGCAGATTCTTATGGGCACTGGAATGGATTATTGCAATGTAATTAACTATTCTTTCTTTCATCATGATTAGATTTGTCTCAGTAGTGTTCATGTGTCCTTTGGTTGATTGCACTTCCTTCTTCAAAACCTGCTTAAAATTATTTTGTACAGTCACATACAAAGCTCTGTGATAATGGTTAGCACTTTAGTCTACCACACATGAAAAGCTTGTATGGCTTGGGTTATGATCAAGACTTACTACAATTATCTTTTTTTTTTTTTACTGTAATTATCATGGTCTTCAGCAGCTATGGATTTTGGTTCAATAATCCCTTTCACTTTTAGCCTGGGAGATAGCTAAGCTGTCTTGTGGGGTGGGGGTAGGGGGTTTTGTGTGGAAGGAAAGAGGGGGAGAATTTGTGCATGTATCTCATAAATTTTTCTCTCCTTCTTCCCTTTCCTTCCCCATTCCTCACCCTCTAAGAGAGCTAGCCCGCAAGCTATTTTAGTTTTTCTGGTGCATTTCAAAATCTTCAACTTTCACTGTCATCTGTAAACAAATGAATGTGCTCTCTGTTTCTGGTACCTTCATAGTCTGAAATACAGTAAAAGCTTTTATGACGGGCTGGTCAATGTGCAAATGCCCTTGCGCATTTTTAATTATAATACCAAAGGTCTTAATAAGTAAAAAGACACAACTTTTGGTATCTTAAGACTGCTTTCAGACTGCTTTCACAGTATGTCCACAAAACGCAAGTGTTTATGTGCAGAATATTTTGTTGTTTACTTACCATCTAGCTGTTTGCACACACATTACATGTACTTATACTTTCTTTGTCTGTTGTTTTCTTCTAGGAATGGTTACCGCAGCCCATGATTTGAAATCAGAATGGGTTGTTGTCAAGGGTGTGTCACGTTTTGCAGATAGCAGTGCAAATAATTTGTGGGAAACCTTTGCCAGTGTCATGGCTGCTTCTCTTGTGTCCAATATATTAAGTGATCCTTTTGTTTTTGAACAATGGCCTCACTATGGAGGTATGTATGGTAGTGTATACTAAGTTCTTTTTAACAATAATTGTTATTGTACAAGTAATTGTCTTGCAGAGATCAACCTGTGTGTAGTTTGGAGGAGGCTTTTGGCTCACAGTCACGTGATTATCAATCACCTCCGAGACCCCAGGGGTATTTAGGATTAAAAGAGATGGAGAGGTGCAAATGGAGCTACGGTTGAAAATCCAAAAAATCTTAATTGAAGCTTTCACTTAGACCCTGAGAAAAGCCTGGCGCAAGAAATACCTGCCATGAAAAAAAAATTCAACCAATCTTTCCCAGAAATGGACCTCTCGCTAGGTCAATGACATTTATGTATTTCTCTGTAGTTATCCATTCTCCAATGGTGGAAAACACGGTGTCTGGTGGAAAACAAGGGGTCTGATGGAAAACATGGAGTCTAATTGCAAAACAGGGGGGGTCTAAGTGAAAAACATGGGGTCTAAGTGAAAAACACGGGATATAATAAAAATGACAGGTCGAAATTTTGTCAGGTTAAATTGCAATGAAAATCAATTCTGCATCTCGGCGTGAAACGCGTTTCTCAAACATTCCGTGAGAAAGAAAACCATTCAAAAGCCAACGAGCCGTGCAGTGGTTTTCTTTTGCATGGGGCGTCTATTTTATTTTTCGCAGTAACTTGCGTGGATTTTTTTTAGCTTTATAAAAGCAATATTAAAATATTAAAGACTGTTTTGCTTAGTATCTTTAACCATGAAAAGCAACAGTTGCCGTATTTGCTCAATTAAAAGCTGGTTACCTTTAAGTTAGGCTCGATTTCCAGCCGTTTTTTGAGCCCGCGTTCCTTTCCCCACACCTATGTTGGGAGGAGGATAAACAACCGCACTCCCAAAATGGCTGGAAATCAAGTCAACCTATAAGTTGGACCTTAAGAAATGGCAACAAAAATTACCTTAGAATGTAAGGAATAAACAAATAAAATGTGGCTGGCCCAGCCGGGCCAAATTTGAAACAAAAGCTAAGGGGGTTTAAAGGGCTGTTAATCGAGAAAATACAGTAACCTTCTTGAAATGCCAGTTCTGAAATAAATTCTGGTGTTCTTTCAAATACAACAGAAGTCGGCGCAGTACTGTAGTTGCTTGCATTAATTTCAGCGCGAATAATCTGCACTCTCACGAATGGGGATTTAGTTTTTAGTGTCTCCTTACACATGGGCTTACAAAAAAAATGTTGTTCTAATGAAATCAAAATGTTATTGCCTTTACATCAACTATTGACTGGGACCTCATTAGCGATTTTATAAATGATCAGACTCCAGGTTTATAATTACTTCTGTGGTATTGTACATTAGGGACCGGTCATTATTTATTGCCTGGGGGGTGTGGAACAAGTGTGTGAATGCATGCGTATGGAATGTGCATGGAATGTGTGTGAGTAACGCAAATCAGTTTCATAACATGGGTGTGTAGCATTTTATCCATTAGTCGAATAAATAGACTCGTCGAGTAAAGGTCCTCTGTTGAAAACTACAGAGGAGGGGGCGGAGGATTTTGGAGGGGATAATTGGATTTTTAGGATGACAGAAAGGGGAATCAGCCATAACTGAGAGCCCAAAAGGGGATCACTAAATGTCACATACCCATACAGACTTGGTGGACAGCTATTTGGCACTCTAAAAGATAACATTGCAGTTTCCAAACACTTGGGATGGTTAGTTGCTGGTATGTGAACTGACATCAGTCACAGGGTTTTCAGTAAAATGGCGGAATTCTACCGGCTTGAAATTCGAATGTAGCCACCTGTTCTGGTCATTAAAATTTGTACACATATAACAATAAAATAAGACTCGCAGACTGAGACGTTTGAAGAAGAAGATTAGTATTTTAATTAAAAAGGTGAAACAGTGCTACTTGCTACATCTAATTTTATGATCATAAACAACTCATTTCCTGTAACACTTTGCTCCCCAAAATGCATGAAATCGCATCTTTGGCAACCTACAATTTCAAACTCTCCAGGAGACCATACCCCTGGACCCCTTACGCTGGCTTGCCCCTACGGGCGAATTGGGCCTCGCTTTAATTTATGCTGCCTGTTATGTTTATTCCACGCTTGTGAAAACTTCTATTAAGAACCCTGATCAGATATCGTGAATCGAAGACATGGATCAAGAGACTGAACCATGGCGGCTTCGTTTAAGTCAGCATCATGGTTCGAAATACTACTGTCACATGACCGTTAAAAGCACTAAATATACACGTCGAAAGGTGAATATGTGTCCAAAGACATTGGGGAATCACAAAATTTATTAATAGCTATGAGGGGAGTATTTCAATGAAATAACATTATTTTAAAGGTGGGATCAGTTAAATGTTACTGTCTTAAGCCGAAAATCCTCGGCCACCCTCCGCCCCCCGGTCCCTTAGTCGCCCTGAACGCTCAGGTCTACAGTCGAAAGTGATTATTTGTATAGAAAGGCTTTTTCATGGTTAAAGGTACTAAGCAAAAGAGTCTTTATTATTAAATTATTTCCTTTTCAAACATATAAAAAATCCACGCAAGTTACTGCAAAAAATAAAATAGATGCCCCATGCATGGCACATTGGCTCTTGAATGGTTTTCTTTCTCACAAAACATTTAATTTGCTTTTTTGATCGACAAACCCCTTTCACACTAAAATTGTGAATTGATTTTTATTGCAATGTAAAATAACAAAATTTCAACTTCTCATTTCAGTGACGAAAATTCATATTTTGGTGAAAAAATGGTTCCCCGTGTTTTCCACTTAGACCTGTGTTTACCACCAGACCCCGTGTTTTCGTCATCCCATACCCTGGGACCCCATGCCCCATACCCCAGGGACTCCAGCCCCACGTTTTCCATCTAGCCTACATTTGCAGTTTGTGCCCTCGCAGTTTTAGTACCCCCCACTAGCATGTAGAGCAGTAATGAAATAGTGGTAGTATCTGTTAGTAAGCGAATCAATTCCAATTCGCAGTCAATTTTTCGGTAAGTTGAGCTAAGACTCTCCGATATTACCTGCCCGTTGATTTTAGCATGATCAAGCAATTTCACTTCTAGAACAAATTTAAAACGATTCTAAAGATCCAGAAGATGGTTTTTGGGAGGAAATCAACTCAGAAGGTATCATAGGTAATTGAGAATTCAAAGTAGTTTTCTGAATTATCTCAAAATTCTAGCTTAACCATCATATGACTGTGTTGCTTTGCACATATTTGAGATATTAACACATGTTGTTCAACTGCAACTATATACCCTTCCGATAGCCAGTTTTACGTTTGCAGTCCCGTTTATTCAGATCGCGTATTTGTATTGAGTAATCTTACATGCCGTAGAGCTCATGTCACTGGGTGACTTTGCAAGAATCAAAATGTAAATGTAAATGATAGTAGCTTATATAGTTTTGCCGCATTTTTGTTGAGGACATGCAACTTGACTCATAATATGCATAGAGAGGAGGTTGCTATCGTGACTAATGCAAAACTTCTGTT